CATGAAGTGTTAGTATCATTTTATGCTGCTTTGGTAAGACTACACTTGGAAAACTGCATCCAGTTTTGGTCACCATGATGCGAAAAAGATGTTGAGACTCTAGAAAGGGTGCAGAGAAAATGATTAGGGAGCTGGAGACTAAAACATATGATGAACAGTTGCAGGAACTGGGTATGTCTAGTCTAACAAAGAGAACGACTTGGGGTGATGTGATAACAGTCTTCCAATACTTGAGGGACTGTCAGTGTCATAGAGAAGAAAGGATCAACCTATTCTGCAAAGCACCTGAGGGCAGGACAAGAAGTAATGGGCGGAACATCATTAAAGAGAAATCCAACATAGAACTAAGGAGAAATTTCCTGACAAGAACAATTAATCAGAGGCTTACTTCTGGAAGTTTTGGGTGTTCCATAATTGGAGGTTTTTAAGAACAAACTGGACAGTCATTTGTCTGAAATGGTATATGGTCTCCTGCTTGAGCAGGGGATTGAACTAAAAAACCTCCAAGGTCCCTTCCAACTCTGTTATTCTGTATTCTATAAACACACACACACACAAATTTATATGTATAGTAAAAATGCAATGCCACAGTGGCCTTCAATAAAGTTTGTCATTTCTCTGGCAGCAGCTTTCCCTTGCTAATATACTAAAACACTGAAGTAATGAATGTAGGATGTGAAACAATTTATCTTCAGGAAATCTTTCCTCCAGTTGTTAAAACATCACAGGCTAGGCATGTGGTTGGTGGACTAAAATCATTAGGAAGTTCTGGTTTCAGTTCCAATGAAACACTTTTTATACTGTAAGTATTGGAAGTGGTCCTTCAGTCCTGGGATGGAAACCATCAAACAAGATGCAAGGAGAAATTATGAAATGACTGAAAGCAAATGGCCTTCCTACTAATCTACTGGTCTCTGTAGATGTTTTAGATTTCTCCTGCCATGATGCAAAAGTGCACAACTTTTAGAAGACACACTTGATCACTAGAAAATCTCTCATCCAAGTTTTAATCAGACCTTATACCAGGGGTCTGCAATCTTAAAGACTCAAAGAGTCATTTGGACCCATTTCCCACAGAAAAAAAAAAAACACTGGGAGCCACAAAACCCTTCCCGTGCCTGACTATTTCTTGAGCGGCCACAAAACTAGCATATGTAGTTGAATTAAACATTCTGTTTTCTTCTGAAACTTTTCTTTTCTTGGATTTATCCATGGTTGGCCTACCGGGGGTTGAAAAGCTCAATAAATCGCGTGCCAGTGGGTGTTGCACATTGGTGGTTGTGACACATATTTTGAGTGACAGGGAGCCGCAGCAGAGGGGTGAAAGAGCCACATGCGGCTCCAGAGCCACAGGTTGCTGACCCCTGCCTTATACTGATTAATCCAAACAAGGAAGAGATCTCCCTACTAGAGTAGAGATCTCTATCTACTACTTGTAGGCTTCATAAGAAAAACATCTTGCAGGTAGGAGATAAACAGAGCAAATTAGAAACTGGATCAGACTTTTCCTTCGATATTCTTTAAAAGAACCTGACAGGGAAGTTGTAAACTTTAACATTGCAAATTATTTATAATTAGTACCCTCACTTTAAGTGACACAGTTTATCACTTCGGCACATGATTATCTCATCCTATTTCTATTTAATTAAAACTATGCTTCTATCAAAAACTAGATCTCCTATCTGCTGTATTACGCATTTATCTGTATTGATTATTGCTACTGCAACTTACAAATACCAGTTAAAGTAAATACCGAGGTGTTTCCTGGTTCTTATCACCTACATTATGTATATTTTTAACTATAGCTACTATTAAGAGACATCCTTCTGTACTGCTACTTAAACTATGCACTTGACTACTTGTCAAGGAAGCTTTGTCTTTCACAGAAGCATACACTGATGTATCAATCACCCTGATTAAATATTTGCCCAAAGATCTATTTTCATGGAACAGTTACTGTAGCACTTCAGATCCACAAATATTTTGACTTGAGAAGTTCCTGCTTCTTATGGGACCACCCAGAAGTTTATGGAGCTAACTATCATGATAGGTCCCTTGGGACTTTGGTGAATGGGGCCAACATTATATACAGAAATGGAGGCAGGAAAGCAAAGGAACTCATCTTGCAAAAGCTGAGAGCAAGTTCCTTCCCCCCTCTGAGCAGCTCTGGCTTATAAGGTTTGGTCTGACCTGAGTTTTTTGTAATACTGAAACCCTGGGTTCATGATTTGACAAATTCTCAAATGGCTTCAGCAGGACCAATTTCTCCTGTTCGGATCTTCAGTGACAAAAATATATTCCCTGGTTTTCTTGCTAGTCATGTGGCTTGCCTGTTTACTCTTTGTAAAATGATAGATTTTCTGTTTCTGTTTCCAAATAATCACTCAGCCTGTTTGTTCTCAATATATTTGTGCCATATTTCTCCCAGTCTTAGTTAATGATGCTTTATTATTTTTAAATGTTTGATGGCACCAGACTTTATACATTCTATATTTATGGAGCCCAAGTAGTTTTAAAGTACGTATAGATAGCAGGAGATCCAGAAATTCAGTATGGTAGACATGACCATGTCATTGAAAGATCCATCCCTTTTAAAAGTGTGCTACAAACAAATAAAAGGGATAAGGCTTCTATTATACAGTCAAGCCTACTATATGGACATTTTTAGTCCCCATCCCCTCCTCCAAATGCCCCCCAAAATTTATAATTGAATCATAAATCTGATGACTGGAATGCCATATTGATGGAAATCTTGAAAGTTCACCTCTGTTTGGCCAGAGGTGCTACCCAGGAAGCATTTGAAAGGCTCTGATCAATTTTCAAATGCCCATGATAGCTGCTTGAACTGGCATTACAGATTTCCATTCTGATGTCAGCTGTCTAGAGTAATAGTCCCCAAAGTGGGGTGTACAATTATTTGATTGATTGATTGATTGATTGATTGATTGATTAAATGTATATACATAGTCCATGAATGCAGGAAGAAAATGTTAGAATGCTCTATTTCCATTTAATGTTTATACTTGAAAAGAAGGAAATTAAGCTGCATTAATAGTGAACTGAATATATAAAATATATATTTGGGGGGATATTTTAAAGCATTTATAATATAAATGCTTCATAGTACATGCGGTATACCAATATATATAGTACGTGCATATAAGATATCAAGAAATAAAAAAAAAAACATCAATTTTAATTCATGCTGTTTTTTTCTTTTTTCTGATGGCATTGATAAATCCAGAAAGTTTGGAGACCAGTGGTTCAGACTATATATAATCTGTAGGATTATATATAAGAATTGCTTTGTAGGATCTGTTGGGAATAGATAGAATAAATCAAGCCCAACAGATCAATAGCAATACTAAATGCTATGCACAAGCCAGGTTCAGTGGGTATTTGTCTTTGCCTTTAAAATCCTTATAGGCAGCAGGCAGAGATTTCACCAGCATTTTAAAACGTAATGAAATGATGAGGTGGTTCTTGTGCTGGAACAAACCAGGAAGTGCTATGATTAAAGCAGGAATGTCATGCCACAATGTTTGGGGCATTTTAGCAATTAAAGAAAGGAACAAAGAAAATCCATCACCAAACTAGTTTCTGCATTTAAAAAAAAATACATGATTTTTACATAAACTATAAAAATCTGACAATTTGCCTATAGATCCTATGGGGAAAAAGACAATAGACCAAAAGCATGCTTCAAAACATAATTGGAAAGGGGAGCAATAAAACAGAATTCATGTCAGCTGGACTCCATGTTCCTATTTATTTGTTTGTTAGATGTAGGATTTCATAGTAGGATACATAGCACTCTCTCCTGTTTCCCTATCCCCTAATTATGATCTTCTGAAATATGTTGGACCAAGACCATGACTGTTAGTGACCTTCCATGATTAAGGATATATTTGAACATGGGTTTTCTAGGTCCTCTTACAACAACTGTCCTCTATTGCTTCTACCTAAGTCTTCCTTGTAAAAGGAACAGTAAAAGATAATGCCTTCTTTGAATTAAACTTGGTTCATGGTAACTATCTGGACGTATCCATGAGCAACAAGGAGGGACATTTTACCACACTTGGTGGATTTATAAAAAAGCTAAAATAATTTGGACTCAGCTATAGACACTAACTCTGAAGATTTTAAAGATTAACATACAGTACAATTGAAACCAGAGGTGTTTCTCTTGAGGATTGATTGGGGGGGGAAAGTTATGGAACTTTTTATTATATATATACATGATAATTACAGAGAGATTATTATAAGCCCAAAGATGGAAAGGCTTGATATGACCCAAAGTGGGTCTGATTGATGATGTTGATGGAACTTGCTAAGATGACCAAACTGATCTCTTTAATCAGAAAAAAGACATTAATGCAGCCTAAAAACTCATTATAGACTTTTTGCATCAAACAGAAAAAAAATGAATTTATGATATATAGTTTTGATGACTAGAAAAAATATAGATCATAGAAAAATGAGTCATGCTGTAACTATAGAATAAAAGGTTAATTTACCCTTATAGCTGCTATAAAAGAAAATCAGAAGTTACTTCTTAATAATACCATTTTTCCCCTATACTTTTGGCTTTTTTCTTTTTTTCTTTCTTTACTTCTTTCTTTTCTGTATTCTAAATATTAGTTTCTCATAGTTTTCTTATTAAAATCTTAATAAAGTTCTTTTAAAAAAGAATGAGACAAAGCTGGCTCTGATTAGTTCATTTTAACCCAGATTTAAAATGAATTACTACAGAATTATTTTTCAATATTTTTCAATTATTTTCCGTAGATTGGCAAGATTCTACACAAAAGAGCAAAATTATTATTTCCATTATTGCCCTAAAACTTTAGGATAAAGTTATTCAGATTTTATTTTTTAAGACTGAGAAAGTCCACCATCAGATGAACAGTCCTGGATATTTTCCTCTATGTTTATTCACTACTGCATGCATGCTCATTTTTCCTATCTCTGAGCTAATCCCTGGATATTATATGTTTCAGATTGGCGCATCATTGATGTCAAGCAATGTGGGGAGTGGCCTATTTATTGGTCTAGCAGGCACTGGAGCTGCAGGAGGACTGGCAGTTGGGGGCTTTGAGTGGAATGTGAGATGACTTTGCTTTTTTTTTTACTAATGGGTAGTTTTGGAGGACTCCTATGGGACTCCTGTGTAGGTTTGGTCAAATTATTGGGTTGCTAAAGTGACACGGTTGTAAGATGCAATGTCATGTGACCACACCAAGTTACAGTTCCAGCATTCCAAGTTGGTTTTTAGGCAACTTCTGACCAATCACAGCATACCACGGTCACATGATCACCATTTGAGACCACACAGTTTCCCCATTGGCCTGCTTGTTAGAAACCCACAGTGAAGATGGCAAATGGCAATTGCATGATGGCAAGATGTTGCAATGTCATAATTGCAAGTCACTTACCAAGTGCGTACCTTGTCATCACTTGTCTATGAGAATGTAACAATAGCTGCAACTGCAAGGACCTGTCATAAGTACCATTGTTCAATGCCATTATAACATTGAATGGTTGTTGTGTGAGTGAACATTAAACGAGGACTACATGTACTGTAGTTTCACTGTCCATTTCAGAAAATGTATGTGCTAATGTTTAGAAGCAGCACAATATAATCCATTGTGTTATGGCACACATTCTATACAAAAGGGGCAGCACTTCCTATATGATAGCACAATTAATGTACTTGAAAGGAGAAGTAATGTCATCTTTGGATTATTATTTTTAGCAGATTGATGTGGCCTGATTCATTCATTGTGGCAGAGTTCCTAAATATTCTAAATAATTTTTTGCACCTAGCAAATGATATTTAATTTTAATCAATTCCATGTGATTATAATTATATGATCTCTGTGGGAGCCAAGGAAAAAATTAGCCCACTGGGTTGAAAATCCAGTGTGAAAAGAATTTTCTGAGTATTCAAGAAAAGGGCTAGTTCTAAAGAAAAGGCAGCTTTCCACTGAATAGCCAGAAGTGAATTCTTCTCAAACTGGCATTTTAAAACATACTGAACATAAACTCATCACAAATTCAGGTTAAATTGTGTTGCTCCAGCACAGAAGTCCCTACAAGATTGCGACCCTTGACCCCTGCCTTTGTAGTAATCCAAGTGAATTTAAAAGCCAACTTTGTCTTAGAATTGTTTGAAGGCCAAGATTGTTCCATGCTTTGAGTAACATTGCTTGCAGTTACAATACTTCACTCATAGCACAGTCCTGAGGGATATCTGAACTTCTCAGCTGCCAAAAAAACTGGAGCTCAGCTGTCTCTAAGATGAATTATTTCTCTTGGTGCTAAAGGTCACCCAATAATACATTTCCTCATGCAATAAAGGGCACACTTACTAGAACAGCAAAGAAGCAAGGCTGGAGTCCAGTAACTTATATGGTAATGAATGAAAAAAGGGATCTCCAAAACCCAACAAAGTTGTGAGCTTAGCGATAAAATGGAAGACATTGTCATCTTCTGGGGTATTTTTCAACTTCCACAATCTGGCTTCCTGTCCTGGGATTTTCTGAGGTTCTTCTATTTAAGAATTAACTAGGTCTGATTCTCAAAGACCAGCAAAGTTTTCTAGGCATTGTTACCTGCTTGTGTGGTGCTAAAACTAATAGTATAAGCTGACAAGTCCAACGTTAAAGCCTCATCACTTTATCTATATTTTGAAAACCTGACAGAAATGAAAGTTCAGAAGAAGTTGTACCTAAAAATCAACAGAAAAAAGGAGGAAGAAGGATTTAATGCAAGTGAAAATGTGATTTTAAAAGTGTGAGCAAGATCATTCATTTTGATTTTAGATTTCCTGAGGCCCTGTACATCCACTTAATTAAGATCTTTTGACCTACCTTCAGTGTTTTTTATGTCCTAGAAGATGTGCTATTCATTCAAGGAAGCATTTCTCTCATCTATCTACTGTCATTTATATTATTTGTTTTCACAATTTTTCTCTTGCCATTTTCTAGCAATAAATAATTATATACTCTGTGTGCATATGCTGTATCTTTCTTTTTTGTTCCTGATAGGCCACCTGGGCACTGTTAGTCCTTGGTTGGATCTTTGTACCAGTTTACATCTCTTCTGGAGTCATTACCATGCCAGAATATATGAAGAAAAGATTTGGAGGACAAAGGATTCAAATCTACTTATCTGTACTCTCCCTTATTTTGTATATATTCACCAAAATATCGGTATGTATCCAAGAGAAAAATCATAGTCTTGGGATATATGGTTTACTTAGTACTCAAGAATGTTTGCTTGGATAAGCCATCCCACTATCCTCAATTACAATAATTGTTCTAATAGAGCATGTCCATGTTGCCACTGCTTCCAAATCCCTTAAAGGGAATTTAAAGATGATTTGCTGCCTCACATAGTTTAAAGATCTAGCCAATAAAATAAAATAAATTGGATAAAAAAAGTAAAGTAAATAAAGTAGATTTAATGAAAAGAAGGACGGGGGTGACATGACAGCAGTGTTCCAATATCTAAGGGGCTGCCACAAGGAAGAAGAGGCCAACCTATTCTTCAAAGCATCTGAAGGCAGGACAAGAAGCAATGGATGGAAACTAATTAACCTAGAAGTAAGGAGAAATTTCCTGACAGTCAGAACAATCAGTCAGTGGAATGACTTGCTTCTGGAAGTTATGGGTTGTCCAACACTGAAGTTTTTTAAGAAGAGATTGAACAGCCATTTGTCAGAAATGATATATGGTTTCCTGCCTGAGCAGGGGGTTGGACTAGAAGACCTCCAAGGTCCCTTCCAACTCTGTTATTCTGTTATTTGTATCAGCGATGAGTCATTTGTATCCGCGATAGATGCCATCCATATACCAGTATCAAAGGTGACACTTTTTCTAGTTTTGGCACCTGCTTTACTTGCAAGAGTCAAGCTATAATAACTGAGCACAATTAACATCTCTTTCCTCATCTCTCTCTCTTTCTTTCTCTCCCTCCCTCCCTCCCTCTCTTTTGCTCTCTCTCCCCCCATTTATTTCAGACAGATATTTTTTCTGGTGCACTTTTTATTCAAATGTCCCTTGGTTGGAATCTCTATCTCTCTACGGTGATCTTGCTAATAGTGACAGCTATCTACACCATAGCAGGTAACTATGCTGTGTGTAGCAGTATAACAGTGCATGAACAACTGATCCTGGTCAGCAATAATTTATATTTATGAAATAGCCCACGTGTTACATTGGATGAGAGCACTCTGTAAAAAGAAAAGATATAAGTAGTGGTCCCAACTCATAGCTGGCTTCTGAAATAGCCATCAAAGAACTTCAGAACAATGCACCATTTTTCTCCTTTTTTCTACCATGAAAATCACCATGAAAGACTATCAATATCCCAGAATCCAGGAGCATCCATGGGCTGGGACAGGAATCAAAATGTCACGTTTGTGTCTACGGGATCCGAAAGGAAGAGGGTTACAATTGGTAGTCATGGTTGACATCTTGACATTTTTTCACCCTCCACCATGGACGTCCTAGCCTGAATAAGAATAAATAAGAATGGGCTAATGGAACTGAATTGATATTAGCTTCCTAGCTTTCTTCATATCAAAGTAAATTAAAATGAATGCACATAGTTGTTTACAACGTACATAGCATATAGCGACTGTAAATATGCTACTTGGATCATCAATATTTAGAAGCATTTGTGGCTGAATCAGTCCCATGTTTCTTTTTTTATATTGCAGGTGGTTTGACTGCAGTTATATACACAGATGCTCTACAAACTGTAATTATGGTACTTGGTGCTTTGGTTCTTATGTTCATAAGTAAGAAGAAGGAATTGTGTTGCTTACTTTCTTATTCTCATTTCTAAAATAGTATAGATTTCTTGAGTTTTGCTTTTGAAAAGGTCATCATAGGATAGCAGTATGTGGTGCAAAAATCTTATGGTTGGAATATCTATGGAGATTCTCAATCATCCAGGTCATGATTGTCCCAAATTTTTCAAAAGGCATCTAGACTTGAATACATTTTACTTCTCATCCAAGAAGCTTCTTCGGTTCTAGCTGAATAGTGGGAAATAGAAGAAGTCATCTGGTCATTAATACTCTGAAGATCGGCCTGTCGTTAACTGTCTGTGAGTCATTGAGGCCAGTTGGGGGTTTATCTGTACCCTCAGTCACCTGAATCAAAGTGGTTGGAATAAAATCATTTTTTTAATATGTGTGAGAGAGATCCAGACTAAAACATAGTTGTTCTTTCGGCCTGATTTATCTCATTTTTACACAATGACCTAAATGAGTATAAAATTCTGTGTTATCCAAGTACTGATCAAACAAATGTGGCACTATAATGCTTCAAAATTTGGAACAATGTCACTATGAAATATTTATTCATCAGATCAGAAGGTCTGGTCAGGAAAGAAATTATGCTCATGGCTCAGACTGGCAGACAATCATCAGCACTGTAGTAATTACATACCCAACAATCCAGAAATTCTAATACAGTAATTTTAAGTATATTAAATATAATTTAAATAATATTAATTTAATATAATTTTCTTGATATTGTTATTAAATAATGTGTAAGCTTAAACATGTGGCTTGTTGTGTGTTACATATCATGTTGCACTATTTATAATTTGTGTTTCTGTTTTAAACATATTTTTCAACGAGCATGTGTCAGCACCCAAAATGCCTCCCATTTAGAATGGCAGATAAAATTCAAGTTAAATGGTTGAAGATTAAAGATAAATGGTTACACCCCACTTCCATCACCTCATGCACGTGTGGTATTTCTTAAAGAAAAACTAATCACAAAAGGCCATTCTGTGCAACAAATTTAGCTTCTATGTTGGCTCTGAGAGAGTAAATTACACGGGGAGATAAAACAGAAATGAATGAATGAATGAATGAATGAATGGATGGATGGATGGATGGATGGATGGATGGATGAATGAATGAATGAATATTTTTAAAAATAGGTTTTTCTTTCCTTTTCAGGTTTTGAAAAGGTTGGGTGGTATGAAGGACTGCAAGAGAAGTACAGTCAGGCAATACCTAACATCACTGTCCCAAACACAACTTGCCATCTGCCACGGCAAGACGCGTTCCATATGATGAGAGACCCCATCACTGGGGATATTCCATGGCCTGGGCTTCTATTTGGCCTCTCGGTTCTTGCTCTCTGGTGCTGGTGCACTGATCAGGTAAAATAAATCTCTTTCTCCCCTTCCCTTGAACTTTTAGATTGATGATTCACTTCCACGGAAGGATGTTAACAATGCTTCCTACTGAATAATACATATGGAAAACATTACAATGGAATCAAAAAGCCATTTAATTTCTGAGTAAAGATGCATGAGAAGGATGTGAGAGCTTTCCTTCCTTACGCTTACAGCACCCGGAATAATTTGTATCGCTCAGCTTTTAGGAAAAAAGAAAGATAAAGCCTTCTGTTGCTGGGCAGGAAGAGAGAGAAAAACAATGAAATACAAAATATAATTTCTGACCATTGGGACTATCACAGTTAAAGAAGCAAACAGTATGTTTGACTGTTCATAGCCACAGTCAAACATACATTACAGTGAAACCTTGATTTAATGGACCTTAGTGCAGTGCACTTCAGGTTCAAATTTCTATTGTATTGATGTTGCCAGATACCATTTGTGTAATGATATTATTACTTAAATGATGTAAAAGAAACAAACAATGTCAATTCCACCTTGCCTACTTCAGCTAGCAGGAAGGTCACGTATATTGGTTCGGAGTATTAAAATTCACACTTGGAACAAATTCATTTATATTCAGTTAAATACTACATTAAAATGTGTATACAGGTAGTCCTTGACTTACAACAATTCGTTTAGTGACCATTCGAAGCTACAACAACGCTGGAAGAAAGGGACTTATATTTTTTGCACTTATGACCCTTGCAATATCCCCATGGCCACCTAATTCAAATTCAGACACACTTGGCAATTGACTCATATTTACAACATTTGCAGTGTCTCGGGGTTTGTGATCGCCTTTTGCAGCCTCTGACAAGCAAACTCAGTAGCAAAGCCAGATTCACTTAACAGCTGTGTTACTAACCTAACAACCACAGCAGTGGTGGGTTTCAAAATTTTTTACTGTGGGTGTAGCTTGGTGGGTGTGGCATGGCTTGGTGGGTGTGACAGGGGAAGGATACTGAAAAACCTCCATTCCCACCCCACTCCAGGGAAAGGTTACTGCAAAATCCCCATTTCCTCACGATCAGCTAAGACTTGGGAGGCAGAGAATAGATTGGGGCAGAGGTGGTATTTTCCGGTTCTCCGAACTACTCAAAATTTCCGCTACTGGTTCTCCAGAACTGGTCAGAACCTGCTGAAACCCACCTCTAAATCGCAGTGATTTACTTGCCAACTGTGGCAAGAAAGGTCGTAAATCTCACTTAACCAATGTCTCACTTAGCAACAGAAATTTTGGGCTCCGTTGTGCTTGTAAGTATTTTAACTGAATTGATGATGCATTTTTAAATATTTTTAGGTTCTACAAATTTATTAGACAAGATACCTTCTCTTAATGTTAGATGTTGCCTTTCACAATCACTGGGCACTCTATAAAAATTTCTAAATTTTGGCAATTGGAAGGTTTTTTCATCAATTAAAGTAAAACAACAGCTCTGTTCATTTCGGTTGGCCAAAGAAATGCGAAAGAAACCATTACAACCAAGTTTCTTCTTGCAGGTCATTGTGCAAAGGTCACTCTCAGCCAAGAACCTCTCTCATGCCAAAGGTGGATCAGTATTGGGTGGATATTTGAAAATCCTCCCTATGTTTTTTATTGTCATGCCAGGAATGATTAGCAGAGCTCTTTTTCCAGGTAAGCTGCTTCCAAGGGTGGGAAAGCCATGTGTGCTTTCAGACATCATTTTTCATTAACTGAGCAGCAGTCAATGATCTAGAGAATTGGATGCCCACATGGTAGAGCAAACATTACTAGGGGTTTAGTCATGGGAATATCAAATTTAGCTGAAAGCGTAAGAAAAGGCCCTCCTGGGAGCAACCAGAAATGTTTTGTTGGACGCTCACATACTTCCACATCCAGTCTCCAGAGCGCCCCCTAAAATTGCACTGTAAATATTTGGCAATAAAAGACTATTTTCAACCGTGCATTTTTTATTTCTTCCTGGAAGGTTTAATGTACCTGTTCAATATAATTTTTTTACAAAGTCTCCACAATTGACATTTTCCAAATATTTTTGTCCTGCTTTCTCCTATGCTCTCAGCCAGGGAAGGCGAAAAACTAATGAACAAATGTTTTTTCTGGTTAGAAGCCTTTCAGACCAGTGGTGAGATTCAATTTTTTTTACTACCGGTTCTGTGGGCGTGGCTTGGTGGGCATGGCAGGGGAAGGATACTGTAAAATCTCCATTTCCACCCCACTCCAGGGGAAGGATACTGCAAAATCCCCATTTCTACCCCACTCCAGGGGAAGGATACTGCAAAATCCCCATTTCCTCCCAATCAGCTGGAATTTGGGAGGCAGAGAATAGATGGGGGCGGGTCCAGTCAGAGGTGGTATTTACCGGTTCTTTCAACTACTCAAAATTTCCGCTACGAGTTCTCCAGAACTGGTCAGAACCTGCTGAATATCACCTCTGTTTCAGACCAATATTACAAGCATGCCCCATAAGTATCTTATAAACTGCTATCTGTATTTCCCTTTAGGCCAGAGGTGGGGAACTATGGCCCCTTTATGATTTGTGGACTTCAACTCCCAGAATTCCTGAGCCAGGATTCCTGGGAGTTGAAGTCCACTGATCATAAAAGGACCATAGTTCCCCACCCCTGTTGTAGGCAGAAATAGGAAAAGCTCATAACATTTGAGCTAAGAAATATGGAGTGAATGGCCTGAACACTGAATGTATGAAAGACCTTTGTCCTTGGGGCTCTTGTTCTCCATGAACTGAATTACAATGCTTTTGTTTCCTTGCTACAGATGAAGTGGGCTGTGTAGATCCAGTAATCTGTGAAAAAGTATGTGGCGCTAAAGTGGGATGTTCCAACATTGCCTACCCTAAGCTGGTAATGGAACTCATGCCTGTTGGTGAGATAAGCTTCATTTATTCTGAGAAGGAGAAGAGATTCTGAATCAGCTAGATTAGGGCTCCTTTGCAGATGGAAGCTAACTCAAGTTTCTTTTTGGTTCCTTAGGACTCCGTGGTCTCATGATTGCTGTGATCATGGCTGCCTTGATGAGCTCTCTTACCTCCATTTTCAATAGCAGCAGTACTCTCTTTGCCATAGATATCTGGCAGCGTCTTCGTAAGAAAGCTACAGAGCAGGAACTTATGATTGTTGGAAGGTAATTTTTGTCTTACTAGAGTTTTGTGCACTTACCTGAACGGTTAGGGCTCTGGGAGTTGAAATACAAAAACTTTTAGAGGGTAGCATATTTGACAAGGTTAATTTGATGTGTTCAGCTCCACATTATATACGTCAACATCTGGTTCGCTGCTTCTGTGGCAGCTTCAGGCATTCAGGCATTCTTCACAGAGACTTCTGATAAAATCTTGTTGGAGACCAAATAATTCTACAGCGATGACAAGATTGCAACCCTTTCTCATAGAACCAAGTATAAATCCTAGCAAGGGCTTTGTGTGCAATTTTAAATAAAAGCTGAAGCAGCACAAATAGAGCCTCTGATCCCAAAGCAGATAACCATATCAACCACTGGCCTCCAGAACTGATGACCCCCCCAATCTCCATTCACAGTTCTGCATTCTGGGAAATTAGTTATCTGCTTTTAAACATTTAAGGGATAGCCCTGCAAGATTGAAAATGACATCTGTATGTAAATTTTCATAATTGCCGCAGATGCCTTATATTTATGGGGTGTGAAATAACCACTTTGGACAGTAGCTTTTTTTTCCAAGAGGTTCAGTGAAAAAAGTTAGATCGTTCAAGTTGTGCAAAAGTAACTGTACTTTCTCTTGTTATCTCAGGGTGTTTGTTCTGATTCTCGTTGCCATTAGCATCCTTTGGATCCCCATCATCCAGACAGCCAATAGCGGTCAGCTCTTCGACTATATTCAGTCAATAACCAGTTACCTAGCGCCACCCATCACTGCTCTGTTTATCCTAGCAATCTTCTGCAGGAGAATCAATGAGCCAGTAAGTACAGAATCAATGAGAAGGTTTATATGAATAATAGTATCTTCCCAATGTCATCATTTCATAGTTTTTTTAAGGGCAGACAAGACCATTCATTACAATTATATTGACTGTTGAAAGCAACATCTTTGGAATTTAGTCCCATTAGAGCACAGTTTCACTTTAAAAAGATTCTTAAGACTTTGATTACTGGTTTAACAGAAAATAGTGACAGGTTCAGGAAAGAATGGAAAGGGGGAGGAGAAAGAAATATTATAAAGAATTGCATTCTATTATTTTCCCCCAAAGTTTAGAAAGTAATTCTTATTCTGAGACAGAATTTCCCTACTTTTAATCTTCCAGCCATCAAATCTCCTTTGATTTGAGACTTTAAGAGAGCACAGCCTTATATAATTATGTGGGAGATCTATCCACAGGAATCAAGTGCTATTTCACTAGTCTTTTTTCAATAAACTTAATAAATAGCTTTTCTTCTTAGAATGTTATATCCTTATATCAGCAAGTCAGACTAAGTTCCATAATTCCCCACAAGTCAATTTCTGCTTAACTTGCTGTGAGAGTCAATAATCACAATGCAGTTATTCCATGATGCAACCCCTCCCTCACAAATAACACGCCGTTTCTTTTTTAAGAGCAATAGTTATGCACATCCAAAACCCATGGTGTGCAACAAAAGTTCAGTAAGTTGGGGGAAAAAAATCATGTCAAATATTGACTACACAAAATAAAACCTGACTAATGGAGAGTCGTTGGGGAAAAAGTAAACCATTGTCTTATTTTTGGCAAAGAAGATAAATTACAAAAAAGAACAAAAACAAAAACAAAGTGAACCAGTGTTAAGTACCTTCTTTTAGCCTACTGTTAGAAGTATAAGTTAATTTTCTGGTTGTTTGACCAGGCTTCCAACCAAACCTGTTGTTGTATAATTTTTAATCTTCTTTTAATTTATCATAGTCTCTCATACGGATCTGGGATGAAAAACTCCTAATACATTAGATGGCAGCAAATGGATATAGAAAACTTTAATATCTTGCTGCCATCCAGATTTTGCAACCCAGATTTGGTACGTCTCTCAATAACTTATGAGTAAAAGAAACTGCTAAATAAATGGCTTAGAAATAGAGATTTAATAGAAGCCAGTCTACATTTACGGCTATTACATCTGGGCTAAAACATCTGGATTCTTACTAGATGACAGTAAAGAGATACATTTGTAGTAGAGAATCCTGCACTCCTGATCTGGGAGCTCTATTAGATTTATATATCACCGTTTGGTTTTGAGACAACACTGGTTCTCTTAAATATCTCTCTGTTACAATTTTAACATTGTAAATTTTCTTTAATTCTAAATAAAAGTACTTTAAATCAAATTTACCCCAAAATAAGTATGTAAAGAAACCCCTTTCACTGTAAACTCAGCAATGAAGTCTGTAAATTACCAAGTTACCAAGATTTATGCAGTGGCGGGATTCAAGTAATTTAACAACTGGTTCTCTGCCCTAATTATTTCTTCCAACAACCAGTTTGCCAAACTGCTCAGAAAGTTAACAACTGGTTCTCCCGAAGTGGTGCGAACTAGCTGAATCCCACCACTGGATTTATGTCAATAACATTATCTTTTCATATTTTTTCTAGGGAGCTTTCTGGGGCCTAATGTTTGGACTAGTGGTGGGATTTATTCGGATGGTTATGGAATTTATCTACACAGCACCCTCATGTGGTGAGGAGGATCAAAGACCATCTGTATTGAAAGATGTTCATTATTTGTACTTTGCTATTATTCTGTTTGGGCTCACAGTTGCTGTTATAGTTTTTGTGAGCCTCTGCACACCACCAATTCCAGAAGAAAATGTAAGTGATACTTTAGCATGAAATCTATTGTTTCAAATCTATTTTTAGCCTCTGCTTGCTTTATTATCTTAAGAGCATTGTGTTTTGGATAGTAATATTTTGGTAAACTCTTGCTCTACAAAGTTCTTGAATATATAAATTTAAATGGTAATAGAGAACAGCCTAGTTTCCATGTTGTGAAGCAACTAATGCACAATGCACATGCTCTCAAGAAGAGAGATAGATAGTGGATAAGAAATTATATTACAACAGGCAGCTGAAGAGGAAATGTAATGGCGCTAATTGAACCCTCTTTCATATTTCAGTAGAGACAGCATCAATCTTGTGAGCTAAAAAAATTAATATTGTTGGAGCTCTGGCATTTAGAAAGAGCATTTCATCCCAAACCAATCTCAATTACATTGTACAATCAAAGTTTAGTAACAAAGAATTTTATTTCTTTCGCTACTTTAAAACAGACACAAAAAGTCTTATGCCAGCAAGTACCTAAACATTTCATTTAAATATCACTGGTTTTATAGAGTGAGTTTGTGATTCATTAGATGTTTGTCTCCAATATAGGAAACTTCCATAGCCTACTATAAGTGATTAGAAAATCTATTATGATAACTGTAGACTTAGTAGGACATTCAGATTATGCCACACTTTCTCAAACTGAGTCAGAAGACCTACCCTATTCGACTGAATTGGAACCAGTGGTTTTATAAATACATAAATACGTATTTTCAGGAGGATATTTGACTGTGTTTGCAGTTTTTAACTCATAATTTGTAACTTTCACCAAGAGGACATTTTTTCTTGACTAGAAACTAGTACACTTGGGTTTTAGCCATGATTTAAGCATGATCAGTTGGGTGACTTTATGTCAGTCACTCTTTCTCAATCCTAGGAAGGAGGTAATGGCAAGCCACTTTTGAAAAATGTTACCAATGTTACTTATCCACGGAATCAAGAGTGGTTTAAAGATTCAAGGATTCTTTAAGTGATTCAAGAGTGATTTAAAGCCACACAAAAAGGAAAACATAGCTAGCTGTGTTTCATAGAAGGACTTCCAACCTCTACAGTGGGGGTGTCAAACTTGATTTCATTGAGGACCACATCAGGGTTGTGTTTAACCTTGAAGGGCCGGGGGAGCGTGGCCAGCTTGACATCACTCGTGTTGGGGTGCCTGTGGTGGCCTGAGTGCTCTGCCAATGAAAACAGGCTCCCAAGCTCTGTTTTCAGCTGTGATGGCTACCTGCAACCATCTGCCAACAAAAACAACATTTGGGAGGGCTGCCGCTGTTTACAGGGCAACACCGTGGGCAAAATCTAAACAACCCATGGGCTGGATCTGTCCCCCAGGCTTTGAGAGGCAGAGCCATTATGAGCATTATCTTGGATAGCATCTTGCCTTGACTGGATAATAAAGTTTCAAACATTTGTTCTTGTTTGGCTCCTTCTATATCAGGGGTGTCAAACTGGCGGCCCACAGGCCAGATGCATCCCATGCAGGCCACACCCACACCAGTTCCACAAATGGGAAAAACTTCACGAAATATCATGTGACGGCAACATTGACGTGGCGAGTTTGACACCTGTGTTCTATATCCTCCGTCTTCACTTTATTCTAGTCCTATTGCTCCCCACCCAAAAAAAACCTTCCTGAAAACATTCTTTCGGAAAGATGTGAATCATCAAATCAAAACAATTTTACACGATGTGACAAGAAAGATGAGTCTTGCCATCTTGCTTGAAAATAATGTAAAAGTAAGGTTCTAAATTTAGGCAAGAAAAACCAAACTCACAGATATAGTATAGGTGGTACTTGGCTCCATAGTAGTAACTATTAGTGTGCTGGAGCTGGCAAAAAAAGCCAACACAGTTCTAGGCTGCATTAACAGAGGGATAGAATCAAGATCATGTGTAGGCTTAATATCACTTTATAATGCCTTGATAAGATTACACTTGGAATACTGCATCCTGTTTTGGTCACCATGATGTAAAAAGGATGTTGAGACTCTAGAACAGGAGTGTCAAACTCGATTTCATTGAGGGCCGCATCAGGGTTGTGTTGGGGTGTGTGTGGCCAGGGTGGGCATGGCCAGCTCGATGTCACTCATGTCGGGGGGGGTGCCTGTGGTGGCCTACCTGTGATGTCTGTGGTGGCTCTGCCAGTGAAAATGGGCTCCTGAGCTCCATTTTTGGCTGCGACGGCCTCCTGCAACCCTCTGCCAGTGAAAACGGAGCTCGGAGAGCTGCACATGGTCCTCCCGAGCTCCATTTTTGCTGGCAGAGACACCACGGGCTGCTCCTTTGCTGTTTCCAGGGCAGCCCCATGGGTCAGATCTAAGCACCCCACAGGCCAGATCCAGCCCCCGGGCCTTGAGTTTGACACTCCTGCTCTAGAAAGAGTGCAGAGAGGAACAAACATAGATGATTAGGTGACTGGAGGCTAAAACATATGAAGAACTCTTGCAAGAACTGGGTATGTCTAGTTTAATGAAAAGGACTAGGGATGACATGATAGCAGTGTTCCAATATCTCAGGGGCTGCCACAAAGAAGTGGGAGTCAAGCTATTCTCCAAAGCATCTGAGAGTAGGACAAGAAGAAATGGATGGAAACTAATTAAAGAGAGAAGCAATCTAGAACTAAGAAAAAATTTGATGACAGTTAGAACAATTAAACAGTGGAAGGGTTTGCCTCCAGAAGTTATAAAAGCTCCAACACTGGAAGTTTTTAAGAAGAGATTGGATAACCATTTGTCTGAAACAGGGGCGGGTTTCAAAACCCATCACTACCGGTTCGCTCGTGGGCGCTTGTGCACTCGTATGCACGTGCAACACTTTTGGACATGCGCAGAAGCGTCCAGGTGGGTGGGCGGAGCCTCCCACCGCCGCTACAGGTTCGCCGGGGCGAACCGGTAGCAACCCACCACTGGTCTGAAATGGTATAGGGTTTCCTGCTTGAGCAGGGGTTTGGATTAGAAGACCTCCAAGGTCCCTTCCAACTCTGTCTATTCTATTCTATTCTATTCTATTCTATTCTATTCTATTCTATTCTAAATAAAGCAATAAATCTTTGGAAGATTATACAGCTTTTTGTGACAACTGGAAACCGTCTTCTACATTTTATGCCTGAAATTCGAACTATTTAAACTACTCTTCTTTTATAAGGCACCTTTCAAGAGTTACTTTTTATGTAGAGGTCCCGCACTGTCCATATATTTTTATTGAAGCAGCTTTGGGAAGAAGCAAATCTGAACCAAAGAATAGGCAGAAGAAGGATGCCTGGTCATTCAATAAAATAAAAAGTCTACAGCAGTAATTTTAGAAACTGTAGAAATGCCAAGAAAGGAAAGGTAAAGAAATGGCTTAGCTTTAGAAACAGTTTCCAATGCACGTATCATGGTAGAGCTTTAAATAAATATACATTCCAAACAAATTACAAAGTTATATGGTGTTGAAAAGCTATACAGAATGGTATTAACTATTCTTCCATGTTATATTTCCCTCTTGCTTAGCATTTTTGGTTAAATTTAAGTCAAATTCCAGTCAGTGTGCCTGAGTTTAAACTACAGGCAATTTAGTTGGGGCCCATTTTTGCATAAGAAATGTGATATACATGGCTTTTTCTAAGAAACAAGTTTACATTGATTTGATATTGAGAGACAGGGACTTCAGTAGGATTTATAACTCAGTAGAATTATATAGGATTGTGCTTAAGCATCTACACACCCAGTTGTAATATATCCTATCCTATCCTTGCCAAATGATAGGCACATAATTAGCATTCTTCCTTGTCAAACCATCAGATTTAAACGGTTCTCTAACTTTTATTTTCTTGTTTCTAATTTGCAATTATTCAGTTTGCCAGATTAACATGGTGGACTAGATACAGTGAAATACCTGAAAAAGACATGGAGAGTTGCACCCATCAAAATATAGAACATACTTCCCAAAAAGAGAAGGATTCAGTGATTTCGTCATTGGAGAACATAGATTTAACAGACAAAGAACCTGACGGTATGTAACATTTCCTTCCTTCCTTCCTTCCTTCCTTCCTTCCTTCCTTCCTTCCTTCTTTCCTTCTTTCCTTCTTTCCTTCCTTCCTCTCCCCACTCCAGTTTACAAAAATAAATAATAACACTAATCCTAACCACTTATCCCCACTAATTCAAGGGACCACATTTTGAAAAATAATCAGCCTCTATACGCCCCTTTTACAAAAAACACACACAGAGGTCTTCACAATTGTAGATCACACAGGGATTTATAGGATAGAGTTAAAAAAATTTCCAGTCAAAATCCAAACCAAATTATGGCAATTTGGGTGGGTTTTATTTTATTACTTGAGCCTTGAAATGCTTCACAAGTTTGGCTATGAGAGAAATGTCATCGGCATACCATAAATTATTGATGATTCTTCCTCTGATTTTAAAACCACATTCTTCTTCTTTCAATCCAGCTTCCTTTTTCATATATACTCAGTGTATAGACTGAATAAATAATGGGAGAGTATATAGTCTTGTTTCATTTCTTCGCCACCCTGAAGTCATTTTTAAAAAATATTATTTTTATATTACTAGACATAATTTTATTCAAATGCAGTTTTCCATTTTCTACATTGAGAATACAGTAAATGACTGATGGTATATGTATAAACACTTATAATAAAACAATAGCTTTCCTATCCCCACTCTAGTTCTTGCTGATCTAAGTTGATCAAATACAGGTAGTCCGCAATTTACGTCCACAACTTAGCCCTCAATTTATGTTGCTGAGAAATTTGTTAAATGAGTTTTGCCCCATTGTATGACTTTTCTTGCCACATTTGTTAAGTGAATCACCACAGTTGTTAAATGAATTCGGCTTCCCCCATTGACTTTGCTTGTCAGAAAGTCACAAAAGGGATCACGTGAATCTGGGACACTGCAACCATCATAAATGTGAGTCAGTTGTCAAGCATCTGAATGCAAATCACATGACCATGAAGATGCTTCAATGGTCATAAGTGTGAAAAATGGTCATAAGTCACTTTTTAACTTTGAATGGTCAATAAATGAACTGATGTAAGATAAGGACTATCTGTATCTACTCTCTACTTATAACCGGTGACTTTTCATTCATGAATTGTGCACTTAGAATTCTCTGACCCATCATTTAGTGTCTGAGAACTAAAGTTAAAATTTATGGACCCTTTAAATTCCAATTGCTTGAAGTAAGTAAATTATCAGAGGTACAGTAAAGTAAAAAAGAAGTATCTTAATTACAATCTGTGGTTCTTCATTTTGGGAGCATTCAAAAGAATTAAATTTGATAGCTACTAAGAAGTGACAAGAAGGAAACCAGACTTTGTAATCTGAAGTTCCAGTGGGCACTTTAATTCACATTTGAAAAGCTGTTGAGACTAAAGTTGTTAATTATTTGTCACCTTTGTTTGCATATAATCCATCTCATCTGTCCTCACATCTGAGGATCAACAGTTATCTTGATTATTAGGTTATTAGCACCAATTGTAAAAGAAATGTAACATCTTTTCATAAAACTGTATCATTGCATTATTACAGAAAGGCTGTATGTGGGTGTGTTTATTTTATTCTCATACATAGTTCTACAAGCTCTTGGAAGCGAGAACAAAGTTGCCAATTAAGATTTACAGTATAATACCCATAGAAGAGAGCCAGCTTCATGTACTCATTAAAAGTATTGGAGTAGAAACGAGGTGAATGTGATTTCTAGTGTTGTCTTAGGCACAAAGCCACTTGGGTGACCTTGGGCCAGTCACTCTCTCTCAGCCCTAGGAAGAAAGCAATGGCAAATCACTTCTGAAAATGTTGCCAAAAAACTTGCATGGACTTCTTCAGGCAGTTACCAAAAGTTAAGACTGACTAGAAGGCAGGAAAAAAAATGACATATGAGGCTTTTCCATGACAAATTTTATACTTAAGAGTTTGAACCACAAATCATTAGACATTCTCCCAAAATTGGGTACCATTGAGGGTTATATAGTTTTCCTTAAACAATTTTGGACAACTCATGACTTAAAGAGAGGTTGTGTTGTGGCCCGCCAGCGGCCTGCGCGGATCATGGCTGATCCCAACAACGAGGAAGCTGGTGTGGTGTCGCGCCAGCAGCCTGCGCAGCCAGCGCTCGCGTCGGACAGCGAGGAGGCTGAAGAGGATGTGATGCCAGAGGCAGAGACTCAGACAGGGCCTTCAGAACCTCCAGAGGCTCCTTCCAGTGGAGAGAGCGAAGTGGAGGAGCCTCTCCTTAATGCTCAGGCACGCAGGGCTGCCAAAAGGCAGGAGTGGCTACTCAGGAGGAGGAGGTCTACTCGAGAGTAGGGCCTGAGGATAATTGGCCACTCCTTTAGCCTATTTAAGTCACACGCAGCTAGTGCTTTCTTGCTAGAAACAACGTCTCATTACTACAGAGCATCTTGGAAAGCAAGCGACTTCTCATATCTGGTTTTCTGGGCTGGTTGCCAACCTTTGTCGGACTTTATTCTTAATAACTTTGATAAGGACCCTCTGCACGGGAAGCCTGCATTCTTGAAAGGGGTTTGTTTGGAATTAAACAGTGTTTGTGAAGCTTGGTGTGTGTCACATTCTCTGGGAATCCGAAGCTGGGGCAGAACAGGTTGCCTTGTTGTTTTTCTGGGTAACACCCTCCCTCCTTTCCTTCCTTCCTTCCTTCCTTCCTTCCTTCCTTCCTTCCTTCCTTCCTTCCTTCCTTCCTGCTTGCCTGCCTGCCTTCCTTCCTTCCTTCCTTCCTTCCTTCCTTCCTTCCTTCCTTCCCTCCATCCTTCCTTCCGTCCTTCCTTCCGTTCTTCCTTCCTTCCTTCCTGTAGGAAATGTGTGGGATAAATAAGATCTTATTTATCCCACACATTTCTGTCTTTAGCAGCTGTGTAGAAAGGAGACCTTTGATATGCACACATAAGAAGAACTTGCTTCTTCTGAATGGTTCTGGAAAGATATTGGAGCTTCTTTGTTTCTCATCTGCCCATCCCAAGAGAAATGCAGATTTTCAGCAGATGAGGCTTTCCTTGGCAGGCAGACACTGTTAAAAGGACAGGAGTCAAGAGAGACAAAGGGTGGGAGAACACACAACAGTCCTATTCCCTGGTGATTGTGCAAAGCCAGCATGCATAGAAAATTAGAGACCCTCATAATTGGTTAACACAAAGTTAATGCTCTGTAAGCAGTTGCAGCTGAGACTAATCAGAATGTAAATAGAATTAATTTGCTGGAGAGAATTTGCTGAAAGTAGACTGAATGAACAATCCAGGATTTAGCTGCACTTCTTAACGAAGTAGTTCAGAACTAGAGTTCTTCTTATATGTACCAAAAATGATAAGACTGAACTTTATGGGGGTTTTTTCTCCAAGGAAGATCAGTCAAGGCAACAAGCTCTTCATGGAAGGTTCAATCCAATGATGAACCAGACAAAAACCAGAGGGAGCCTTTTTCTATGAGCCACATTTCTCCTCCTCCTTCTTCCTTTTGCTTTGTAGGCTGCTGGAGTAGGCACAACACTGTTCTTGAGAGGTTGGGAACTTTTGGGACTGTCCCAGGGACATATGATCAGCATTAATGGCTTTCCAGCCAACTTCTGACAAGCAAAGTTAACTTTAAGCCAGATTTGTGTAGCAACCACGTGATTCACTTAGCAATTGCACTAAAATAGAATAGAATAGAATAGAATAGAATAGAATAGAATAGAATAGAATTCTTTATTGGCCAAGTGTGATTGGACACACAAAGAATTTGTCTTAGGTGTATATGCTCTCAGTCAGTGGTGGGTTCCTCCCGGTTCCGCCCTGTTGCGCCGAGCCGGTAGCGGTGACAATATGATGTCACCAAACCAGTTCTCTTTGTTCAGGAGCTGGGCCCTCCCACCCACCCACCCCTGCATTATTCTTACCTTTTATTTGGCCCCGCCCCCGATTTTTCGCTGCCTCCTGAGTCCCAGCTGATCGGCTGGAAGGAAAAAGCTTTTAAACTCTTGCTGCAGGCTTCAAAGGGCCACCCTACAGCTGATCAGTGTTAAAAGGCAGTGTGGTGGTAGACCGGTGCCTCCAAAAACAAATGGGTAGACCAGGACACTCCAAGAACAAATTGGTAGGCTGGTACAGTTGGGAAAGCAATTAAAAGCCTGGTAGACCAGTACCTCTGCTAAATCCTAAAGAATTGTCACATGACCATCAAACCACGCCCACAAAATAAGCCACACCCACAGAACCGGTAGTGAAAAAAATTTAGAATCCACCCCTGCTCTCAGTGTACATAAGGAGAATAAAATACATTCATCAAGAATGAAAAGATACAGCACTTAGTGATAGTCAAGGTTACTATTAAGCTATCAAATCATACTAGGAAACAAATAAAAACAATATAAATTGAGAGATATAAGTGACGTGGTTATAGTAATAAGTGGGAAGAGATAGCTACTAGTAAGGAAGAGAAGAATAATAGTAATACAGTCTTAGTAAATTATTTGACAGTGTTGTGGGAATTAGTTGTTAAGCAGCGTGATTGTATTCGGTGGCAAAAAGATCGTAAATGGGCCCGACTCATTTAATAACTGCTTTGCATAGCAACAGAAATGTTGGACTCAGTTATGGTCATAAGTTGTGGACTACGTATAACTTCATTGTTCATATCCATCCTTCGCTATTTTAATGCTGTTTTTCAAATATATGTTACATGCCTGTTCCAGTGTATCTATAAGCACTATATAGGGGGAAAAACCAACCTCCAATGCATGCTAATTTATTCTTTTCTCTCTTACAGAAGTGAAATATCCTGTCTGGAAAAAACTTTATTTCTGGTTCTGTGGAATTTCTGTCAATCCCAAATCCACTTTAACCAGAGAAGAGGAAGCAGCAGCTCAGAAGAAGCTCACCAACATCAAGGAAGAGCCAGTGTGGAAAGCTGTTTGTAATAGCAATGCCATTATTCTTTTAGCTATCAATATCTTTTTATGGGGTTACTTTGGATGAGCTGAGTAAGCTCCTAAAGAAACTCAAAAGATTAGGTTTAGTTTAAAAGAACAACAGAAGCGGTAGATGATAAAAATGGACATTCCTTGAAGAAACGAGTTATAAATTGTTGTTTAGACCAGTAAATGGACCATGAGTACTGGTAATGATTTGCAACCCAAGGCCTAGCTTACTTTTATTTGGTCTTTGGCCTAATTTGAAAAGATTGAAAACAAACTATTCAGACTTGAAGAAAAAGCAATCTCTCCTTTTCATGTCAGCTTGTAGTTTTAGCTTTTAGTTTTCAAACTCCGTATTTCTGTCGGTGAAGTAAGAAGCAGACTTGACGTACCTCAAAGGATTTTTGTAAAACAAGATAAACTTCAAATAAATACCAAAGGTTTTCTTATAGAGATTTCTTGTCATTGTATAATACTTTGTTCTAAACCCTGAATAAGCCTCTCCTTTAAGAAATAAAGGGTAGTATAAAGGTAATATTTACATGAATTATCTTGGAGCCACAAAAGCTCACATGAAAAATTCTCAAAAAGAACTACAGTAATGCAGTTGAAAGACTGCGTAGTGACATAATATTTTCCAGTCTAGAATTCACTGCAGCAGATATGATGAAATTGTCCATGATAGCATTTCCTGCAATAACATTGCTGTTATTTAAACCTATTGTTCGTGCTGAAGCAGTGACTCAAATCAAAGAGGTTGCAGAACGTTAATTTCTTCTTCCCTGCATAGTTTTGGGTCCTTATTTCTGACCTGGGGGCAGTTCTTGATTTAGTCTCCTGAATCGCCAAGCTAAGACCTCAACCACTCCTCTTGGGATCAGTGCACTCCCAGAATTGATGATAAAATGTTGTTTACATCGACATCTCAATGCAACAGTCTTTCTGTATCTAATCAGATATGGATTATTTTTCTGATTCAAGTCTTCACTGACATAAATTGTGTTAATCATTTTATTGACATCATTAATAAACCTAGTAAGAACTAATATAAACCAAGCTAAATGAAAAAAGAACTGCAAAAAATGAGGGGAAAAAAGGAAGAAATAGAAAAAGAAAAAAAGTGGAAAAAATATTTTTTAAAAAGGGTGAAAAATTAATATAGATAGTCCTGGATTTACTAGCACAATTGAGTTCAAAATTTCCATTGCTAAGCAAAACAGTTAAGTGAATTTTGCCCCAATTTATGAACTTTCTTACCATAGTTTTGAAGTGAATCATTGCAGATGTTAAAGTTAGTTGTTAAGTCAATAGCAATAGCAATAGCAGACTTATATACTGCTTTACAGTACTTTACAGCCCTCTCTAAGTGGTTTACAAAACCAGCATATTGCCCCCAACAATTTGGGTCTTCATTTTACGGAAGGATGGAAGGCTGAGTCAACCTTGAGCTTGGTGATATTTCAACTGCCAAATTGCAGGCAGCCGGCAGTCAGCAGAAGTAGTCTGCAGGACTGCACTGTAACCACTGCGCCACCGTGACTCAGTGGCTTCCCCACTGGCTTCGCTTGTCAGAAGGTTGCAAAAGGTGATCACATGATTCAAAGACACTGCAACTGTCATAAATATCAGCCAGTTACCAAGCATCCTAGTTTTGATCAGGTGATTATGGGGATTCTGCAAGGTTGTGAGTGTGAAGAAGGGTCATAACTCATTTTTCCAGTACTGTTGTAGCTTCAAGTGGTCATTAAACAAATGGTTGTAAGTCAAGGACTACCTGTATGGGAGTATATTAGTTTGGGAGCAACTTCTTTCTTATTCTCTTTGTGGGATGGCATACATTAATGTTCCAGAAGGCAGAAGCCACAGAAGAAAATGTTCTTCTTGTGGAATTTATAGAAGAAGACAAGAGGTTACTTGCCCTTATAGAGAATCTCTGCACCAAAACGCTACACTGCCATAGAGCCTTTACTAGTGGGATCTGAATGTGGTGGCAAGTCTGTTGCTCTTTAATAGATTGGATTCATGCTGTTGAGCCACAATAACAGGAGCATTCTTTTAGAGCAGGAGTCCCCAATCCCTGGTCCATGGACCAGCACCGGGCCATGGCATGCCAGCAACCAAGCCACGCAAACAAGTGAAGCCCTGTCCGCGGGATGCAGGCAGCACACGAAATCACACTCTCTCTGGTCCATGGAAAAATCTTTCTCCACAGAACCGGTCCCTGGTGCCCAAAAGGTTGGGGGCCATTGTTTTAAAGAACACTCAACCTTGGCACTGCTTGTATCACCATAACAAACAATGTTTCAGTATTTATCAATTTAACCGCACAGATTACTTTCAGACTCCAGCTGCATGCAGGCATTTGTGGATCACGGCAACCTGCATATATTTTTATGTTTTTCTATACGTCTCACAAAATAAGTTATTAACAGTATAGGAGACATGTATGTCGCAAACAATTGTAGTGATTTGAGTTATAACTGAGAACCAAATCCATAGGCAGCAGACGTTTTTAAGGAACTCAATCTATATTTCGTTACTAATCATTGCTGCTAGGGCTACGTCGATCAGCAAATGATTATCATTCATTTTCTTGACAAATCTATCAAGGTCATTCATTGCTGCTCCGGGAAAAAAGGTTCTTCTTTTAAACTAAGATGAATGGCTTGCTGGGGTTTTTTGGTCAGGCTGACTGAGCAAAAGGAAATGAAATTAACAACAAATGTCTTACAAATATGTCATTTCACTAATTCATTGGGAAAAATGTTTTAAAATGTTATTGTGTTATATTTCATTCAAACTAGTTGCTTGGTTAGGCAATTTTTTTAGTATACGTAAGCAAAACAAATTTGCAAAAAAATAAGGAAGACGAACAGCAAGTCTATAAATTGCTTTTTGTTTTTTATTTTAAATGCACAGAAAATTAACAAGATACTTGCTTACCAGTTAAGGCACTTATAACATTACAATCTATGTTGTCCAATATTCAAAAAGTGCTCAATGCTCATTCAAATATAAAAGACTCTGTGCTTTTAAGAGACCATTTATGTAACTGATATGCATCCCAGTTCTTTTTTAAAATACTCAGATTTATTCAGAGATTAAACTGATGATTGGTGTTGCTATATATTCATGAGTATTTGGGAATATTTTGTGACACAGTAACCCACTAGTAAAGGCTCTATGGCAGTGTAGAGTTTTGGTGCAGAGATTCTCTATAAGGCCAAGTAACCCCTTGTCTTCTTCTATAAATTCCACGAGAAGAACATTTTCTTTTTCTGTGGCTTCTGCCTTCTGGAACATTATACCCCTTGAGGTCAGATCTGCACTCAGTTCTTTGGCCTTCCGAAAGGGCTGGAAAACTTGGCTCTGCCCATTGGGGGCATTTCACATTAGAGATGATTAAGGCTGAGATAAGACTCTACCTCCACACCCTGTGTATCTTGCTCTCCTTCTCGCTGTCTTTGTTCATTTTAAGTCTATTTTAATGTTAATATTTATTACTTTAATTTTATTACATAAAATGAAAATGAATGTACTGAGAAGAGACCAGTAACCAGTTGAAGTCAGAATATGCACACGTCAGTTGCAGTCCAAGAATTTGGCAAAAGGAGAGTCCAAAGTATGTCTGCAGGTCAAGGAGAGCAACATAGTAATAAAAGTTCAAGAGATCAAAAGAAAGTGACAAAGGAGCACAGGCAGTGGTGAAATCCAGCAGGTTCTGACAGGTTCTAGAGAACCGGTAGAGGAAATTTTGAGCAGTTCAGAGAACCGGTAGTGGAAATTTTGAGTAGTTCGGAGAACCAGCAAATACCACTTCTGGCTGGCCCCAGAGGGGGGGTGGGAATGGAGATTTTGCAGTATCCTTCCCCTGGAGTGGGGTGGGAATGGAGATTTTGCAATATCCTTCCCCTGCCATGCCCACCAAGCCATACCATGCCCACCAAGCCACGTCCACAGAACCGGTAGTAAAAAAAATTGGATTTCATCACTGAGCACAGATATCTGGGCTGGAAAAAACTGAACATCTACTAATTGGCAGCAAAAAGTTATAATAATTTACTTGTTATTAGATTTACATCCTGTCTTTATTTGTACATTCAAAGTGGGATGCAGAGAAACATAGAATCATAGGATTGGTCTTCTAGTCCTCCAAGGGAAGGATGATATAAAGCAAGAGATCTTATATCAATCATGCCAGACAAGTGGACGTTCAATCTTTTTTGAAAACCTCCACCAATGGAGCATCCTTAACGCTGGGAGGCAAGCTGTTCATAATGCTGAATTATCATTATTATTAATATTATATAATATATAATGTTTATTATGAATTATGTACATTATTGAATTATAATAATAATTAATATAAAATGCTCACATCTCCTATTCTGCCCACAGCAGCAACTTGTGAGATAGGTTGTGTTGAAAGAATATGACTGACCCAAAGTCAACCTGCCAACTTTTATACCTAAGAGAGGATTAGAATCATGGTGCCCCAATTTCTGCTCCAGTTCCTTAACCACTGTACCAAACTGGCTCTCATAATGTTCAGTGTTTCTTTGCTGCCATCTAATGGCGATACGGATTTTTTGGCAGTGATATGATACACCTAGTACAGGCAAGAATGATCCAAGTCGCAATTTTGCATGTCACAAATGTTCTTTTGAGCAACATGACTAGTTTGTAATGTGTTATTTAAGTTTAGCTAATGTTTATTAGGACTTCCAAACTATTCCCACTATTGCTTTCAGAAAACCTATTTTTAAAGTTTGATACTGTTCATCAGCATGCAATCTCTAATTCTCATCATGGTAGCTGCAACAGTCTTAAACAGAATTAGAGGATCCAAGGGGCCAAGATCATCAGTTTCCATGCAATTTACACTTTGTTAAACTGGAGTACTTTGAGAAGGCTACAAGCAAAAAGCTATGGGGAAGTCATGAAATAGAAACTCTTGTCCATGTTATTCTGTTTCATGTAACAGATGATTTAAGATTCGTACATTTCAGAAGCGTAGCAAAATCAGGCTTCTAAACATTTACCTACAGGTTTTGAAAATGTGTGCTGGTTTTAAGTAGGTTCTGCTATGGCACTGAATTTGAGAGCTGATTCCTCCAGAAATTTCTCAAGCAGAATTTCTTTTGACTCTTATAGAATTTATTCTCATCAAACCTGTGGTTAAACATAGTTTACACAGGGGAGCATGATGGAGTAATTTATTTATTTATTTATTTATTAATGGAGCTTGTATGCCGCCCTATCTCCAATGGACTCAGGGCGGCTCACAACAATTAAAACAAATTAAAACAATTGCTGTCCCTTCTGGGGAAGCTAATTTAAAAAAGGAATAATATCCCACCTCTAATTTTGAACTTTGTACAACTTTTATTATATATTTAAGAAACAGCATACAGACACATGAACAGTATAAAACACAGGTGTGACAGGAACTT